GGCAATGTTCAAGGCCAGGTTGGATGGGGCTTTGAGCAACCTGGTCTGGTGGAAGGTGTCCCTGCCCATGGCAGGGGGGGTGGAACAAGATGATCTTTAAGGTCCCTTCCAACCCAAACCATTCTATGATTCTACGATTTTGCAATTTAATAGGATCTTATAGAAACTCAGCCACCAGTTCTGAAGGAAGAAAAATGCTTTGCTGAGCTCCCTGCTCTTTCCTTTCTAGGCAGTACTCTGCAGATAGAGCTGCACACTCCCACCAACTGCACGGGGAGCAGCAGGGGCTGGGCAGCTCTACCAGCCCATGTCATTGCATTTCTCCCTAGAGGTGCAGATGCACAGGCCGGGGCACACCTGCCTGACGACCCTGGACTAACTGAAGTTTCTTGCTATACATTCTTTTGGTGGTAGGTTGCTGGTATTTTTCATAATGTACTTTTTCTGTGAGACCAGTGAGACTAATCCTGTATTCTTTTGCAACATGTTCTCATTCCCAGATTTGGTCATGTTACAGACACATCAGCTCCACAGTATCTTCTATGCCCGACCCTAATTACACAAACACATATAGGTCCTGCCAAGCAAAAAGTCCCACTGTGCGAGGTGGGGATCAGCGACTGCAGCTCCATGTCCAGACAGAGAGGCACCACACAACAGCTAAAGCGCAGAAGTCCTGCCAGCCCCATCCGAAGGGCTGGGAGGGGCCATGTGTCCTGCTGGGGTGCAGGACAAAGCAGCTAATGCAGCCAAAATCCACATCCCTTTCTCTGACAACTCACACCTGCAGTGCATCCTCCTCCTCACATGTAATACATGGCTACAGAATCACCCCAAGCCACCCACCTTTTTTGGTTCGTGTCTCACTATTCTATGAGTTGCCTGTTGTCTCCCACTCTTCTGAGATGAGTTCAAAACCCTGAGGAGTTACAGGAAGGGGAAAAAAGCATTAAGAAAAACATATTTACATAGATAAATTAATATCTGTGTCAAATCAACAGCCTTCACACCTCAACTCCGCAACCTTTCAAAACACATTTACAGTGCTGGCTTAAGGTGGGGAACACCAGAGCAGATCAACTATTAGCTATGTAAGACACCCAGATCTATTGTCTCTCTTGTACTTCCAACAGCAGAGAAAGCATTAACTTCAAGAGGTGCTGGGGTTGAATATTTTATGAAGTTTACTTGTACTACACCTCTCCAATTGTTTGTAGGGGAAAGCACGAACAGACTGACTAAAATCAGTCTTCCCTATGTTCACGATTAAAATGCCTACAAGGAGGTGGACATACTATGCACATTTTCAACCAGGAAGAAAGTAGCAGATAGGAAAATTAATACAGATATAGCCCTAGACAGACTTTTTTTTTTTCCCCAGTCTGCCCTGAGACTCAGCCTCATTGACAAAGTACTTTAATAGCATATTTTAGGAGTGAAGTTTTTAAACAGACAAATTGCAGAAATAATAAAGCTCTAACACACACCATCGCTGACAAATTAGCTATTAAAGCAAGGCTTGGGATGGGAACTGCCTACTGCCATATTACTGAATTCACTCTTCCGTATTGCTGTTTACATACCAGGAAGAACACTGACCTGTAGGCTTACATTTAAATGCATGCCCAGAGGCGCACATTTTCCAAAAGCAGATTAACAGCAGTATGACTCCTCCTTGGGGACTGCAGAGCTCATCAGAATCCTACCTGGAGGCTCTGGATCTCAAGTTCACATGCCCTTTATTGACAGGTCTGCTGCAAGCTATAAAAGGGATCCAGGTCCCTGTGCAAATGCCCAAAACCAGCCTAGGGATGGGTGGTAACACATCCAAGGACCTGAAATACCAGGAAGAAAAACTATTGCTGCAGAAGTGCCACCAATGATGTGAAAAAACAAAGTCCAAAGGACCTGCAAGGGCAGTAGTGTCGTTATTCAGCCCATAATCACTACAGACATGGAAGATAAGTTTTCCATAATTCCAAGGGATTTTAATGACAATTAAATAACCTGTCATTATCCTTAATAACATAAAGGTGAATTGAACTTTGCCTGCTGAAGTAGTGGTGGCCAAGGTCAGTAATAAAAGAGGTTGATATGAGAAGCCAGCGCAAGAGCAAAGCTCCACATTTTCAAAGACAACTCCATGGCATTTTATACTTCGATATGACAATGGTGTCTAAAACCCATCATATTTACTGGATAACAGTAAATACAACTGTTTCCTTCTGGGTATATTCTTTGAAACTCATTATGTGCTGATAAGTTTAACAGAGAAACTTTCATTCCAGCACAGCTAAAAGAAAAATTGTATTCTATCACTTAAAGGCAGAGATATTTACTCCAGATCCCAGATGCAGACAGGCTATCAGAGTCAGGCCATCCACAATGCTGTAGTTCACACTGTCAGCACTTCCATTACCACCTTATTCCTCCACTGAACAGCTCATACCTTCATTTGTAAAAAAAAAAAAAAAAAAAAATGGGCTCAGGTTTGACATAAGAGCCTTAGCTGAGCAACATTGGTGTTTTAAAAATAAACTTTTAAAACCCAGTGGCCTTTCTCTTAGTGACAATTGCCAGACAATTGACTTGCTTGTCTTGGAATTTTATCCTCTGCACTCCTATCAGTCAAAAATGTCTCTAGAGCAAACAAAAGAATCACTCAAGTATTAAATAATCAAAAAGAGTCATGTTTAAATAAATACCTAACTATATATCGCACTAATGAATTCAAACAGCTTTATCAAGTACAAAAGCACTGAATGTTTTTGCAATGCTCAGTGACTTTTTTATTTTAAAGGAAGTCAATTTACATTCTTGTTTGTCAGAGGACAGGCAGATTATAGCTCCACTGCCACGGCTTGTGTTGACTTTAGTGGCACTCCATCAACTCATCTTCCCACACACACATTCTCTGTAGACAGATCAAGGTCTCAGTATTCAATAACATAACTGACAGTCATGTTCCTTCATGGTATACATGGACATCTTCAAGAAAAAGTGCATTTTTATTGTTGTGCCAATAAAAGAAGGATACGGGAGGACAAACAGTTATCCTTTCAGGATCGTACAGCAACGCACATGTTGTGTGTGCTTGCACACACAGCCTGTAAGGGCAATGTTTCTGTTCTGTCTTAGCACCTACAAGCATAGCAGGTTTGATGGTGCGAAACATGTTGGATGCTTTTGCTTACAGTTGAATGTCAACTGATCTTTCAAGATCAAATAGGCTCACGCTACATATAGAAGTAAGTTTTGTTTCTTACTGCCTTGGAAATTCCAGCTGGGTCTTCTCTCTTGTATACATCATTATCATCTGTAACATGAATTCTCCATCTCACCTGACCTCAAGCTAAACCTACAGTTACATCTCTGCTCCTTTGCTATTCCAGAGAGGGGTGACAGGTTCTGACCAACGGGAGAACCACCTGCCCTGGCTCCACAGCAGCAGAAGTCGAGCCCAGCAGAGCTGCCGCTCCCAGATCCTGTCAGCTGGAACCTCCCTGTGATCCTGGGGGCACGAGAAACACTTGGCTGCTGTAAAACAGGGATTTTCTGCAGAAAGGAGCTAAGGCATGGAGGTTGAAAGCCAGTGTCCTGCACTGTACCCTGGAGCCCAACATGCTGCCCACAAGTCCTGCCTGCATCCATCTGCCCTGGTGGCCAACACCAAAACCCAGCCCTCAGCCACAGCCTCCTCCTGGTCACCACAACACAAGAGTAATCCAGCTCACTGGAGATTTTGTCCTTAAACCCCTTCTAAGCAACGAAGAGAGCTTGCACCATGTGTGCTAAACTACTTCCCAAGGCCCACCACGTTATTTCACAGCCTGCATATGTGTGGTTGTGTCTCAGGCAATCACTGAGCAAAAATGGCACATAAAACAGCACAGAAGAGTGCTTCTGGCTGAATGCCACACAGCTCAAAATCCACAAGCTGATACATTTCCACGGTCCCCAAAAAAGATGAGTTACTTACAGTGCAAGTACTACAGTGACCTACATAAACACAGTTCTTTTGTAAACAGGAGTCAAGAATGACAGGAACAAGCAGCTAACAGGGAAACAGTGGCAGATTTTAATCATTGTTGGCTTTAAGCAAACTATAACAATATTCCCACACCTTCGCTCCCATCCCCAACTCTACCCTACCTGCATGGAGCTGCTCAATTGTATCTCAAGAAAAATCTCCTCCGTAAAACAAGCACAATATTACCACAGTCCATTTGTCCTTGGCATTCAAAGGCAGCAGCAGGACTTTCTGACCAAGAAAGCCTCAGTTTCCTGGGAGGCTCAGAAATTCATACAATGTATTTTTAAAGAGTCAGGTCACTCCTAATAAATAAGAAATAACCTCACCCCTGGGATTAAACATGGCCCAAAACTGGAATGAGTTACCAAAAGAGGGAAAACCAGATGTCCTTTAATAAATCAGGAAGCAGGGGATGCCACAGCACTTGGCTCTGCTTGGCATCTATTTGGAGGTGCATTTTCGTGATGTTAAAGGAAGCAGGGGACACCTGGAGAACAGGACCAGCCTCTCAGAGTACCCAAGGCACGTACAGCACCCATGGAGTACTGAAGATGCTGGGACATCTCATCTCCTTATCTCACACCCCAGCTACAAGGCTGATGCCAGGATGACTCCAGACCCTTCTGCTCTGACTAACTTGAAAAGAGGCAAAGCCCTTAACAGAAGCCCAGGCCACATGAACACCAGTTTCAAATACTGCCAAAAGTTTTTAAAAAATCAGAGGACTGGGTGGGGCAGGGAGGTGAGAGGAGCTGGTAACTGGAGCATTAGGGTTTGTTGGCTGGAGGAAAGGGACAGGTCGGTTTCAACATGTAGAGCTCACAGTCCACAACTGAGCCCTGCTGTGGCAGTGAGCTAAGGGAACTGCAGAAAACTACTCACTGTTGTTGAGAGCTTTCCTTCGTTCTTCTGCACATAGACAATCGCATCCCGCACCAAGGAGAAGAGGTTCAGGAGGACATGCTCCATGTCATAGGTGCCATGCATGCCTTTCATCAGCCCCTCCAGAGACCCAATGTACTCTCGCCAGTGGTTATCAATCTCTACAACACCCGCCAAGCATCCTTGCATCACCACACTGCAGTAGCTGGCACAGGCTTTAGCCAGGAGGCGCCCCTGGCAGTGCGAGCAGTACCACATCTTTAGCAGCGCACGTCCACAGTCCTTGCTGAATTTTAAGTGGTCAGTAGTGTTTATCACCTCGATCCCCAGGTTGAGCGCCTGCAGAAAGACTCGTGTAGCCTGCAGTGACTTGGACACCTGCGTCATCATCATCTTCGGGTAGTTACCAAAGACTTTGAGGTCTCTCCTGGCTGCCCGCAGGCATTCAGTCATTTCCACAGAGGGATCAGGGAAGCCAGGATTCATCAAGTGAGAGTAAACCAAAGGGAATAAACTGTCAAAAAATTCATTTACCATGTCATTAACACTGATATCAGAGCCCAATATGTACAGCGAGACATCAGTAAAAAGTTCTCCAACAAACTTAAGAGCTCTGGGCCCCAGGCTCTGGTAGTGGGTCCTAAACATGCTGTTGGTGAGGTTTCTTGCATGCCGTACTACAATTTCAAAGGCTTCTGCAAAACAGAACAAAAAAAAAGTTATTAAGAGACAATGACCTCAGAAACAGGGAGGATAACGTTATACCACATTACTGCTGCAAAGGCTGGTCCCATCCTGCCCACTTTGGGTCAAACATCTTCTGGCAGCTGTGCCTGCTGCAAAGCTTACCAGTATCAGTGATTTTCAGGGGAAATGCTACATTCTTCAAACACAAGCTACATTTCAAAATGGCAAAAACTATGATCTAGTTAACATTTCAGCTTTTAAGAAAAGATTGAGTCAAGAAAAGGGCTAGACCACAATTTCTTTCTCTCCCCCTTTCATAATTATTTGAAATTAACAGGAATTCTATCTCCAGACTTCATTTAAGACAGAGATAAAAGGGTTGACAAACTGCACAGTTGTTTAAAATCAGGAAACAGTAAATGCTGACATTCCATTATGAAAAGGAAAATACTTATAGGAGCTTAATCAGAGAGGATATTTGGAATTGAGCCCCAGCACCTGCCCTGCACTGTGTCCTCAAAGCCACTTGAAATGCCCCTGCAGTGCTGTAACTTTCCTGAATGCACCAGGCTCACTTCAGCTGCAGATCCAATGTTTCATCTGCCCTGAACATGAGCTCCTCCATGGTCCGAGAGCTGGTGACATACTGTCCATCTGTGGGGGCCCAGGCAGGACCACTCTCACACACATCAGGTTGTGTGAAACTGCCCCATGGAGCTCGTTTCACAAGGAGACCATCAATTTAGTAGGAAAAGCCATGGCACATCTTCCCCTCTCTGCCTTCAAAGACTTGAGGACTTTCTGCCCACACCTCCTCCACACAGCAAGAGGAAAGCCTCCAGCAGCACAGCCACTGCGCCATTGTTCCCTTAATTACAGCCCTCCTCACCAGGAGGCTTCCCAAATATCCATACCCAGGTATGCAAAGACAATATACCTACACACACTCCAGTTTGCAAGTTAAAGTATTAGAAGAGGAGGCCACCAGTGCAAACTAAAGTCTTTTCCTTCAGCCAAGTCTCTCTACCAGTCTGTGTCCCACCCTCCAGGGTACTATTCATAAAATGCTAAAAATAATGAACAGCCTCTTGGTTCACAGGTCACTGACACCCCACAATGTAACTGCTCTCAACTGTGTCACTCTGGAAACACACATCCAGGCTCAATTTGCATGAAAATTATTCATGTTCAATAATTAAAGGGAATGTTTAATTTTTAAAACCATAAGTGTTATTTCTCCCATTTGTTAAGGCTGGGATGCAGCTGAGCATGGCCTGACATGTCTCCACAGTGGTTCAGTATCAACGCTATCACAAGCAATGTCAGGCCTTGCTGCTCGCTCTGCATTACTTAAGAGCTTTTGAGACCATCACATCTCCAGGACTTCCAACTCTTTCTTCCCAGGTGCACCTTTTGCAGGAACACCTGGTGGGACAAGGACCCAGTGCTGTTTGCTGTCCCCCCCACCAGCATGCAGAAAGCCATAGTGTAAGCAGCGATCAAAGCAGAGATTACTGATATACTTTTGTAAACAGTGTCTCCTCCATCCCATCTGGGGCCTGCGCACCTCCCAGATATACCACTGAAGCATTTTGTCCACAGCCCCTGACACCCACACCACGACTGCCCCAGCAAGCCCAGAGCAACCATCTGCGCTTCCAGATGACAGCAATCCTTCCTAGCACTGCAAGGACACAGGGTCCCTCTCTCCATGCCTCCCTTGCCACAACAGCAGGCATCTTGCTCCTCACACCCACACAGAGTATTGCAAAGCTCTCCAGGCACAATGGCACGTCTGACATGGAGCAGGGTAAATGTGCAGGCTATGCAAGCAGAGCAAATTCTGGTTGCACTGTTATTAAAAGTTTTAAAACAAAAAAAGTCTCTTTAAATAGGGCACATGGATTACAAAACTTTTTTCCTCCTTCATCCTCAAGAGCACCAGAATAGCTTTTGCCTCAAAGAGCACAAAGAACTTTTTGGACCAGTGTTTTTTTGACAGCACTGCAGACAGTGCCAGGATTTTCATGCTGCGCCTCACCATTCGCCTTTAACCTCTTCTCTGTTAGTTCCCTTAAAAAAAGTCATCCCTCTTCCCTTTTCTCACTTCTCTGTGCTTTGCAAGTTATCATCAGAGCCAAGAGACTCTTCGCTGATTAGAAAAATATTCCAGGCTCCTATGCAAACCTCCTACAGCGAGAAATGCTTCAGAAAGGAATCGAAAACAGTGGTGTATCAGAAGAGCATGCACACACAGTCCCACTGCTTTAAAGGTCATGACATGCACATAATTTCTATCATAATAACTGGCTAAGAGTGTCTATTTTATGCGCCTTGGAGCTTTTGCATATATCCATTATATATGAGCGCGCAACAGGGACTATAAAAGCATATGGAGCCTCCTGCTGCCCTATTAATAGATGCAAGAAATAATAAAACTTTGTAAAAAAAAAGAGTCTTACATGCAAAATCTCTCACACCCAACTCCCCTAGTAGTTGCTTATTCTGAAATAGTCCTCGCAAAGGGCTGGCTGCAAGAATATTAAAGGCCCAGCTGCCAGCAGCAGAAGTGACCCATGGCCAGACTCTGAGCACTTCAAAGAGGAGGAAACTTTGTGGGTCAGTCGCCTGCGCTCCCATGAGCATGCCTCGCGGGGAAACAGAGGGGAAGCCGCATTACAGAAGCAGCACAGGCTTCTGATCCCCCATAAAATCCCACAGCCTGGATTTGCTGCTGGTAAAATCTGCCCTGCTCATAACATGGCATTATTGAAACTCCTATTGCTGGAGGACAATTGAATCTTTTCTTTCTTTTTCTTTTTTAATTTCAAGGATATTTTCAAAAGCCACAATTTAAGGCAGCCGGTTTGCAGGTCTAGCTGAAGCAGAGTAAATACGTTAACAGCTCTGATTAAGTGTAGCATCAGACTTGCACCCAACTTCCAGCAGGCAAAGATACCACACAGCAGAGCAGAGCTCATGTTTTACAATCTCCATCACTGTAGCTATGCACGCACAGCAGAACTCGACCATGCCACATAGTTATTTATCTGCTTTTAAAATATTTTCTTATGTGATTAGCAGGAAAAAACCTCAAAAACACGCTTTTGCATGCACTAAAATTTAAAGAGCCCTGATCCATAAGTCTGGCTCAGGGAGACAAAAGCCTGAGCTGCTAAGGGCCACCATATCCGTGTTGCAGTTTTAGGTCCATCACTACAACAAAGACATTGAGGTGCTGGAGCGTGTCCTGAGAAGGGCAACGAAGCTGGTGAAGGGTCTAGAGAACAAGTCCTATGAGAAGCGGCTGAGGGAACTGGGTTTTTTTAGCCTGGAGAAGAGGAGGCTGAGGGGAGACCTTATCACTCTCTACAGCTCCGTGGAAGGAAGTTGTAGTGAGGTGGGGGTCGGTTCTCTTTTCCCAAGTAACAAGCCACAGGACAAGAGGAAATGGCCTCAAGGTTGCCAGGGAAGATTTAGTCTGGACATTAGGAAAATTCTTCACCACAAGAGTTGCTAAGCACTGGAACAGGCTGCCCAGGGAAGTGGTTGAGTTGCCATCCCCAGAGGTATTTAAAAGACGTGTAGATGTGGTGCTTAGTGACACAGTTTAGTGGTGGACTTGGCAGTGTTAGGTTAATGGTTGGACTTGATCTTAAAGGTCTTTTCCAACCTAAATGAGTCTATGATTCTATGCCAGAAAGTCACTCCTGCCTGGGTAGCTCTTAAGCACATTTCATCCACAGGTATCTAAAAGGAGCTGAACATATACCCTCCAAAGTCATTTCAGTCAACACAGCAACAAAATTTGGGAGCAATTTAACACCCCACAGCATCATGGTGCTGTACCCCAGTATGGATGCAAAGAACCATATGGTGCCTGGGTGAAACAAAGGGACCACGCACAGAGTGAGAGTCAGAGCACCATCACCAGCAAAGCATTGTACCTGGTGCACTGGTACTGCACATCTGCTGACCACCTCTGTCAAGGGCAGTTTATCAGGGCTCCCAAAGGGTGTGTGAAACAGATGAACCCCTACTCTAGACCACACTTATCAGGCACCAACTGAAAAGCGTGGGCTATTACTTATTTTTCCCACAGGACTGTTAGTGAAGCACCTGGAGAGGAATTGCTGCCCGGTTCCAGTGGCCAGGAGGGAAGGACTAAGCTGCAAAAGCTCCCCAGAACACATCCCAGGGAGAGCTGCACGGACACTGCAAACTGGCAATTAGAGAAAAGAAAATAAATTGTAAAAGAGCATAAAAGTGCCCTGAGTGGGGATTACTGGCAGAAGAAGGAAATCACTGCATTATCAGCTCAGATAGTAAGAGTCTGCTGCTTAGTAAAAACACCAGCTTTCCCGAGAAGGCGCATTTGCTCCAGAGCTGCAGCTACTTCAAAGGGGCCAATACTGGGGCAGGAGGAGCTCTGGATTATCCCGCTGGCTCCCCCAGGCTGCAGGAGGCTCCAGCCGAGTCTGGGACTTGTTGGGTTTATTTAAGAGATTATGTGATGCAGTCGCCTGAACCACAAGGAGCCGGTGCAAGCAACCCCAGTGAGCCATTCCTGCACGGCATCCCCAGAGAGGCAAGAGCCAAAATCCAACAGCAGCTGCAGAGCCAGGGCAGCTACAGAGACAGCACCCAGCCCTGATCCAGCAGTTCCAGATCTGAGCTCAGGGAGTGCAGCTTCACAAGCAACTGAAGGTGTTTGGAAAGATGCTGCTGCCAGGAACAGGGAGGTCTGTCCTCCCTCCGTCCCCCCATGCCAGCTCACCAAAAAACAGCACCATAGCAACTATCGTTGCAGCCACCTTCTTGCTCCCCCACAGCCATGGGGAGAAGGTGTGAGCTGCCACACAGCAGGGCATAGGGGAAAGCAGGATCCACCATGGCAGTCAGACACCACATGTCATGGGCTTTGTGCTTGCCCCTCCGTTACCGTGCCGCTCTTTTTTGCTGGAAACACAAGCTTCCCACATGGACAGCTGCCCTTTTCTGTGCATCA